AGTTGAATTAGGTGTGCCCTGGTATGTGGCTTTATGGAACTCACAGTACTCACTTCTGGAGTTATTTTGGAGGGAAAATCTTCTTTGCCATTTACTTTGGCACATTTGGAAAGATAACCGTGTGCTGTCTCCACTTCCTTCTTAGTCAGAAGCCACCGGGCAGATTCTGGAAGCCACCTAGAAAGAGATAGACAAGACATTCTGCAAAGCAAAAGGGGACAATTGCCAGCTGGGAGAGATGCAGATGGGTGGGCTGGTTGGTGGGTGGAAGGAGATTCATGCAGGTCCAAAGAAATTTGGAAAGGAATTAGCCATTTCCCTTGGAGCTCTTCCCAACAGAGAAGTGTTTCAATGTGGACATCACTTGGAAGTGCTAGCAAAAGACAAATAGATACCCTTGTACATTAGTCATTGGGAGGAAATACTTATTAAAACAAGAAAATGGGAGAGATAGGTACCTGATGAACTAGATCGAAGTAGGCAACTGTTGTAAATTGGGGGCTGTACTGTTTCCTTAAGTGTCTTGGGGAGTTTTGCTCTCCTGATTTTTTTTCCCCTGAAACTTTTTATTTCCCAAACAATGGGGGTTCTGGAGCCACATATGGAAATCACAAAATATGGCCGTACTGGCTGAGGAGTTGTGGAAATTATAACAATGAGTTTAAAAAAGTTTTTTTCCAAGTTCATGGCTAGTGGTTGAACTATCAGCTGTTTTGGAAAATGGCAATCTCCAGAACCTTTTGGAGATTGTATGATCTTTGGAAAGGGATAACCTTGTTAGAAGTCACAACCTTTTGAAAAATGATGCCAGAATTTCTTTTTAAGAGTCATAACCTTTTCAGGAAAATGGGGATCCTATTACCATGGCATTTAGTCCTTAAGAGTTACAAAGGACATAGTTCCATTTGTCATTCCTTATCACTTTCATTCTTGCTTTTTCTCCAGAAACAATCCATTTTCAGATTTATCACACCAGCAGGTGCAGTTCCATACCATACCCCCCTTAATTTTTTTTTAAAGGAAACCCTTGGGGGAAAAACTCTGGAGATATCAGCATTCCCACACCTCCCACCCTGCTGCTCTGCAGTAGAATGGAAGCACTGACTTAAAGAGACAGCACTCTGGAAATATTGGGCTTCTTAGTACTCTCCATTGCAGAAGTCCAAGAAGCTAGCAGTACAGGCAGGAAAAACAAAGATATTTTGAAATGTAATATTTTGAATGATTACATTAATTTAAAAAATACCATGCCACATTCATGAAGCAGGATTTTGGGAGAGAAATGTGAATGCTTGGCAGGGGACCACCCACAAAAACATCCCTTAGTCCAGTGGTTTTCAACCTGGGGTCCCCAGATGTTTTAGGGCTATAACTCCCAGAAATCCCAGCCAGTTTACCAGCTGTTAGGATTTCTGGGAGTTGTAGGCCAAAAACATCT